CGTGGCCAACTTATAAAATGTGGTTGAATTCACTTAACAGCGCTCTTGCTTAGCAACCAAAATGTTGGCTCAGTAACTCTGGCATTTGAAGCACGCAAGTCTTAAAGCTGTCAAGTTACAAGACCCTCGCACCCCCAACCCTTTTGGAAAAAAACTGTTCAAAGTTGACAGCTTTTAGACTTGTGGACTTCAACTCCCAGAATTCCTCCTCTCGCTCTTCATCTTGATGATGTGCGGATGGGTGGGGGGAGGAAAATGGAACCGGTTCTAAACGGCACAGTAGATTTGTGGAACCTCTTCTATAGAAGAGGTTAGAACTGGCAGGAAGTCACCCCTGCTTTGTGGTCACATCTTCCTCTTCCTCATGTCCTTCCCCTCCCCCGAAAAGAGTTTTTTTTTTGTTTCTCATTCAGGCATTCCCAAATATACATTTCTCTTAGATATTGTTGGTATTGTTTGTTATCCTTTAACATTTTATGATTTCCTTCTTTCCTTTAAGTATAATAATAGTATAATCGAGTTTGCTTTTCTGCCATCCCGTACATCCATCTTGTATTACAACTCCACTTCTTCTTTCCTCTCTTTTTCTCCTTCCTTCCCTTCGCTACTTTCCTCTTCTCCTTTCTCTTTTCTTTTTACCCTTCCTCTCCCGTATTCCTCCCCTCTTCCTTCCCCTCCTCCCCTCTCTCCTAGTCTTACTACCCCTTCCTTTCTTCCCCTCCTGTACCCTTTCTTCTTTCCCTCTCTTCTCCTCTCCTCTTCCCTCTCCTCTTCCCTCTTCCCCTCTCTCCATTCCCTACTTCCCTTGTTGTGCTTTCATATTTTCCTCTTCAGTCTGATGTATTTTAAGGTTGGTGTTTGAGCAAACCCCGTTTTGTCCTCCTTGATGAGAGGGTCCAAAGCCCCCTGTGAGCAGCATCTGCCCTCCCAGAAGCCCCTGCTGGAGTCACTGCAGGGGGAGGCCACCTCGGTGCCCCCAATGACCCCCCAGGTGGTTTCTGTGCTTGGAGCATCCTCTTCATCACTTACGATGATGGACACAAGGGAGGAATGCTGTGCCCCCCCCCCCCAGATCCCTGGCACCCAGGAGGGGGAGCAGAAGGAAGGGGGGCAGACAGGTGAGCCTTGGGGGGAGGGGCTGGAAGGACACCTGGGAGGCAAAGAAGGGGGAATTAATACCCCGGGCCTCCCTGAAGCCACCAGGGGGAGGAACTGATCTCCACCCGAGATGGATTCACATGATACACCAAGCTGACCCCCAGCTCAAGGACCCCCCCTCACAGTATTCCCCCCCCCCCAAGAGTTAAACTGAACATTTTAGGGAGGGACTCCCTGCATTGCATAAAAGCAGCCGAGCTGGCTAAGAAACTAATGCAAAAATAATTTTAAAAATAGATTTATTTCTTTTTGCGGGGGAGGTGTCAAAAGTATTACAATAAAATTAGCATGTCACCAGGGGTATAAGATCTCCAACTGGAGAAACACACATACACACACACAAATGCTTGTAGACATTAGATAGATGATAGATAGATAGATAGATAGATAGATAGATAGATAGATAGATAGATAGATAGATAGATAGATAGATGGATGATAGATAGATAGA